TTTAGTAAACATATTAACAATGACAACAGATTTGTGAAAGGGAAAGTAGTAAAAAAAAAAAATATGAAGTGTTACCATCAGTTTAGATCAAAAGTTAAAATACTGAGGTTTACCGTGGAAAAATGTTTCCCCCTTTTGAGCAAGGGGGAGAAAGATCAGATCAGAAATATAGGCAAAGCACAATTTATTGCTGTTTGTCGACACTTATGGTTTTAAAACCACATTTTCAAGGATTTTCCACTCTCTCAAAAATCGGTAAAATCTTGCAAAACATTACATTTTCATCAGAAAAAAAATATCTGGTTTCTGGCTCCAGCCATTGCTGGAGACATAATTAAATTATGACTGAATACTTCAAGTTTCTAAAAGCCAGAAATTTTATCCATTTTCTTCCATCCCCAACTAGTGTTCCCGCTCTTTAAAAGACCTGTCTCACCTGTCACACGTACTCCTTTTTAGCTCTACACAGGAGATCATATCATGGTTTGGGTAACGCTGCTCTGAAGGAGAAAGAATTATGAGCCCTTGCAAATAGAGAGCTACTAGTATGCACAGCATATATGTTTTTAGAAAGCCACAAATTTAAATCCTGGTCTTGTACTACATGGATGCTGTTCCAGTTCAAAAGTCACAACGCCAGCCTAAATCCTTCTGATATCCAGAGCAACTTGCTAGTACTCTGGACTGCAATTTAGTTACAGTTTTGCTGCCCGCAAGGTAATTTTCTCAGTTTTACAACTGGGCCAGTTCCACGCTGCAGATATAAATTTTAACCCTCAAATGGCAGTGGATACCGAATATCAATGGCCATCCTGCTGAGGCCTGTGCATTTTTGAACACTCGTAAACTATCTATTAAATAACGAGCTATTCCTACCGATAACAACGGCAGTACTCCCGCTCCACTACGGTGTTCCTGAAGCAGCCTGAATTAGCACAGCAAAAGCAGGAGAGCAGTTTTTGAAGTTACCGTTGCCACCTGGCAAGCTTGCCGTCACATTTGGATATGTCAGCGGCAGGATGCTGCGCTGCTTTGCTTTTGCCATTCAGAAGCAACAGGACAGGAGTCCCCGCTCCTTGCTGCCGAGGGACCCTGCACAGCAGCTTCCAGTCCACCAAACTCCTCTTTCACAGCTCCCTCAGGCAGAGCGGACCGAGGCAGGAACCCAGCTGTAATACTCCTGGAGAAAACAGAAGGTGACCTCCTGATCCGAGGTAGTTCTCCTTCTCTACGCACCATGGAGTTGAAAAGCAGTCTGCACGCAGAGTTGACTTTTGCCTCTATATAGACTTTCTATAGAAGGGAATTAGCAATTGATATAAAAGGGACAAATTAGCCGAGACATGCTGATGATGATAAATTCCTCCCTTTTTTTTTTTTTTTTAACTTCACAGGAACAAGAGGATGACCTCTGGTTAAGAGAACCCCAGAACTGGAAGAAAAGGACAAGGTCAGCTTCTTCACCACAGCCATTTGGGAGAGTAACGGGCCACTGCACAACGCCCAGGTTGTCCACAGATACAAGAATCTAGTTGCGCAAAAGAAGTAAATGATCAAGAGGCTGGATTAGGCAGGAGGAAAGTTCTACTAATTCCAAGCAAAAATAGCGCTGTCAAGTTTGCCATCTTCTGGAACGGGTGATTAAGATGCCTGTCTTTTTCCGGAGATAAAGCTGCAAATAAGAACACCAGAAACATTCTTTTAATCTCTGCTCCCTTTATTTCCCCTTTTATATGCGTTAGCTTTGTTTCATCTTCAAGAGAGCAGATCAAACTATTTTTCCTCTTCTCCCTTCTGCTGATCAGTTAACACTACCTTCGTTAACATCTAGCAGATCAATTGTCTCCATTTTCTTATAAGAATGCTATAACTAAAAGGAAGGGGACAACAGGAAAAAGACATGTTAAAATATAAGCCTTACCTAATATTTTGACTTCAAAGGTATTCTCTTTTTCTGTCTATAATACTGCAAAAGTCCCACACCCTGTTTAACAGTAAGTGTTACATGAGTATTTTAATTCAGCTCAGGAGTGTACTTTTGAAGTCCACTTACAGTGCTTTAGTTTGCATAGCAGAACCATCTCAAAAGCATGTGAACAGGACTCTTTTCAGATGAAACTGGACTGAAAATGCACTCCAATGAGTGCTCAGTCTGCATGACCAGACTGAAGCAAATCCAAAGTAAATGCCCAAAACCCGTGTAGTGAGGACATCAGGTACTGCACACAAACTAGTCTGCTCTACAGATACATTCCTACTGGGCTATTTTACTTGCTAATGTAGACACAGCCCTTGTGTAGCATTACACAGCTCTCTTTCTTTTTTTTTATTTTTTTATTATTTAAGGAATAAGATGTATTTGAAGTTAAGAGTTTAAAAAAGGCAGTATGTGAGTGCTCTGTGACAGGGCTGGTTTTAGCACCTGTGACAGGATGGTGCTGCCTCTTACAACTTCTCCCATCTCTTACCCATTAAAACCAGTTGTTTGCCTCCCCTTCAGTAAGGTTCTTGCTTGGCTGACCACCTGGGGACTTGATTTGGGATAAGTCATCAGCTATGGGTGACCAGAGGGAGAATTTCACTGAGCCTAAAAATCTTCAGGATGCAGACAGCAAGAATAAGCAGAGGATGTAAAAAAAAAAAAACAGGTGAGAAGCAGAAGAGGAGATAAAACCACTTATCTCCAACCAGCAAAGCAGCTGGTTTCTGGCACCTATTCAGTAGGAACGTGTTACTTTCTGCAGGTCACTGCTATGTCTGTAGATAAGGGAACACGTCCCCAGTGCTTTTCCTGGCAGGTCTGGGCAGATCAGCAGGGTCAGTTCTGGCTCAGGGCTGTAAACAGTATGTTGGCCCCCCTCCATATTATGCAGCAGAACATGCCAGGCAGCTTGCAAGCTACTGTGTAATAGTATGGCCAGATAAACATCTTTAATTCTTTGGGATCGTACAGCCACACAAGAAATAAGATCAACTTAAAGTCTTAAATACACAGTGCCACGAGGCCTTCTGTATCCTGGCTTATACTTTGAGCGGTGATGGCAGGAAAGAAACGTCTCCTCTCATGGGAGGACAAGAACAGCAGCACAGAAACCCTCATCCCTCCTTCGTACCGCTGGAGGGGCTCCCTCCCCTTCTCCTCCAAGAGGCTAGGACAGCATTTGTTCAGACTGCTTACTTTGGCAACCGGAAAGTAACTCTGTAGGTACAGAGCTGAGACCATTGGTGCCTTCCATGCTGGCCTGAAGACAGTTTCTCCTGGGGAAACACTGGGCCCTGGACCTACTGAAGAACGCAGGGTAGAACACATCTCTCAAAAGACATTTTCATATGATTGATAGACATACCACAGTTTTTTAAATGACAGGGTCCAGAACTATGCTTCAAGTATTACTGCTGTTGATAATATTGCCAAATTGCAGCCTAATTTCTTCAAAGGCTGTTTATGCAAATTTTCACATACAGGAAGTCTGAAGTAAGTTTTTAATCTTGTATGATCTGAGTAATGGACTCTATTCTAGTTGTATGCTTTGCTTAAAAATTGCAGGATGTATAAAAGGTGTCTCTGATTTAAATACAAAGCTGTGATTAAAATCCCCATAATGTACTCAGCAGTGTGCTGTTACAATCTTCATTTTTTCACTGAGAAAAGGTGGTGCCCTTTAGGACTACTCCAATTTTTCTTCTTAGTTGCTCTTCCTTTCTCCTTCTCTCGTTCTCCCCTGTATTTAATTTTTTTCAGTAGTGGCAGAATGTTAACAGTTTTAAATTACCTCTTTTGGTTTTTTCAGATCATGACTAAGCAAACACTCTTATTCTGAATCAAGAGAGTCCATTCAGACTATTTTTTTCAACAATAATTCAGCTTTCTTCAGAAATTAACGTAAGAAGTTGCAAAGTCCTTTGCGATTCTTCCTCTTTTGCAGAAGGCTATTTTTACCAGTTTCTGGTGATCTCCTGAACAGTAAGACCCTAGAAACAGTTGTCGCAGTACAACTGCACAGTGTAGACGGTAAACTGCATCACAGAGGGAGAAACAAGCAACAACTTTTCAATCCATCTTTGGAACAGAGTACCACACTTCATCCTCATGGTCTTGTTCTGAAATAATTCAATAGTATTAGCTGCAGCCAACAAAAATAATTTTCTTCCTGAATCTATGCAAACACCTGAAATGGAGGAAATGAAGGAAAAGCCATACCTTGCCTGTCCTAATGCCATTTCCAGCTTTTAGAAATGCCTTTCATTTATACCCCATGCCATCCTATGAAGTGGTCATCAGCACTAGTTGCATTACCAACAGGCTTAAGGCTTTCAGTCACATTAAAAGGATTGTAAGCTAAGCTGCAATTAAATGAACACTTCTTTTCATGTTAGTGCTGGGTTAAGGAACTCTTCTCACTCTTCTCTCATGCTGCTCTGGAGTGGTGCTTGGCACTTCCTTTTAATGTAATGGTACACTGCTTTACTACCCACCCATTAAGCAGGAAAGCTGGAGTCAATCCCTCTGCCTGAGTGGTTCAACCTACATGACCTGCAAGAGTACCAAACCAGAGGCGAGGCTGTTTTGCATGCCTTTAAGCTTTCCATCTGAAGTTATGCCTTCAATTGCATGTAATTAAGAGACACCAAGCGAGAGAAAAAGGACAAGGAAACATGCAGCTCTAGCCTCCTAGTTTGGTATACATTTCAGGTATGCAGGGGAAAGATGTGAGTGGGTTCTCAGTCCTTGATCCCCAGACTTTTAATACAAATGATAAAGATAAATTAAGAATTTATGCAAAATAGACAGTGGCCTACATCAGGAAGGGACACTGTGCTGTCTCAGTGGCTTAGCGTCAACACTGTACGTGGAACGTTTGTAACGACACAACAAACCTTGGACTTAATGAATCTACTGACTGCAGTGGGCATCTCTTCTTATCATTAAGATGATAATTATCTGCTGTTCATTTCAAAGAAGTAAGTAGTTTTGCTCACCCATAAGACACCAAGCAGGAAACAGCCTTCCAATATCATGTTCTAGCTTATTGCTAGTAAGAAGGAAGAAGGAACTCTGAGAGTATGTTCAAGGTACATTCTGCAAAGGCATCACTCTACTGTATCCGTCTGCCTCCACACACGCTTTCTAACACCTTTTCTGCATCAGTACTTGTTAGACTAGTCCCTTGGTTGGTTCAGTTGACTAACCTGGTAGTAAACTATCTGCTTTTTCTGGTTTAGGTTTCTGCCAGGCAAGTAAATTCAAACAGATCGTAATTAAAGTACCAGAGACAGACGTGGGAGAAAGGAAAGCAGGACTTTTCCCATTCAGCTGTGGGGAGCTGCTAGATTAATTCATGCTAACTTATGTGCATGTCCTGTATATGTTTCCTATTACATTTTTCTTTATAGAAGTTTGGTTTAACTAACTTCTAAGTTAAGTTCAAAATGATAGTCAGTTCAATCCCCTATATCTACCCTTGACGTGAAGAATGTTTTGGTTCAGTTTGATCTTACATATCGTAGATTAAATCAGGCAGAAATGTCTGGTCCAGACCACAGTTATGAAGTGACACAACTTTTCTTGCTTCCCTTTTTAAAAATTATACTTTTAGTTAGCCAAAGGAACTTTATGTTGACAGATCACACAGTAGCAGCTGTATCCCTTTAGATATACTTTTAGGTTCAGGGAAAAGCTTGTCTTTCCTAGCTGCTAGGTGACTACACCACCAAAAGCTTTCAAAACCTACAGTTTCATTGGGTATCTGCAGAGATTCAGGTAGACAGCACGTCTACATACATTTGAATTAGTGTTTTGGGAGCTATAACCTCCCCCTCAATTGTTAGCCCACATCGTAACTCCAGCCCTGCCTTAACCATTTTACATGTGACTTAACTATCTCATGTTTAGATAGGCATAAGCAGCATGTGTTTTGCAACATGCTTTGCACCGCAGGTGGAGCGCAGCACAACATCCCGGGTCTTCTGGCCACTTAGCTAGCAGGCTTTGCTCACCCGACCCGGTAGTCCCCGGGGTGACACGCCACTCCCGCATAGTTCCACGATCGCCGCAGACACTAATAATGTCTCTTGGCAGAGAGCTCCCCGCACTCGCACAGGGCGACGTCTCAGAGGGGTTGTGGAGATTCCTAAGCGTACACCCCTCCCGACGCGTGCTCACGGGGAATCCGATGCACAGGCAGCACCTGGCACTCCCGCGAAGACAGCGGAACAACTGCAGACAAAGTTCTGGCGCCCAGAACAGCGCTCGCCACACAGACCCAAACCGGACTCGTTTCGCGGCACGCCGAGTGCCAGCGCCACGGCGACTGGCTC